TAGTTAAACGATGCGTCTAAAGCGCCGTCCACACACTTCCCGAGTGGGACGGTGAGAGACAAAACTTTATCTAGCATTTTAAATACTTTATGAAGCAGGTATTTAGTAACTTAAATACTTTTATCGAGTATTTTGTCCAACACTGACTAAAACTCCCTGGTGTATGCGGCTGTTCGATCGAGGTCCTGTGGTTTACGGGCCGCGCTCACGAAAAGGGAGATGAAAGGAGGTGACCAAACCGTTGATCGTCAAGCATGGCCACCCCTTTGTCCTCCGTGCCACGCGACTACGCAACGCGTGAGGACTTGCGAGCAATCTGCCCATGCGGGGCGTCCGCCGTTAAATTGCGAACACTCTCTATGATTTGTTTTCTAAGCTTTCGCAGCTGGCGAAGTCTTCTCAAAGTGTCTCGGAGTCATGTCTCCTCCAACCCCCCCCCCCCCCCCCTCTTTTCCTTTAAAGCGCAGCTCTTAGGCGCCCGTTTCTGGCATGAGAGGCGTCGCCGTCGCGGTCGCCATCACCGCGCGTTACATTATGGGACATTTTTCATAATGACGTCACGTGTGCCGTCATGAGGGTGAAAATTTCCCGCTAAATTTGGCGTAAAATTTTCCCGCAAAATTTAGCGGGGAATTTTTCCCGCTAAATTTTAAATTTAGCGGAAATTTTTTCTCGCTAAATATAGCGGAACAATTTCCCGCCAGATTTGGACACTAGCGAAAAATTTTCCCCGCTAAATTTATCGGGAAAATTTCCCAGCTAAATTTAGCGGGAAAAATTTCCCGCTAAATTTCGCAAAAAAATTTCCTGCACCATTTACCGCCAAATGTTTACCCTCGTTACGTCACAGGTAACCCTCCCCTCCGTACCCTGGCCTACTCCTCCTCAAAAGCTGCGCTCTAATTGGGCAGTACAGAAAATTGTAAACGTCTTTCATTTTTTCTCTATTGTTTTATTTTTCTTTTTTTCTTTTTTTTTTTTTGTATGCTTGCGTTGCGTGTCCGGTGGAGTTCGAGGCACAGGCGTTTGGCAGCCGGCCAACTCTCTTCGACCGTGGCCGTTGTGACACGCTTCACTTTTGAAGGCTAAATCAGAAGCTAGCTTCGGTAAAAGTGCAGTTCCTCATTAAAAGTAACTCCATCCGTCGTCACAGCGTGGCCACAGAAATCGCCAAGGAAGAAAAATAAACACTTCTGAAGCCTAAACGTTTGACATGACCCACCTTTTAAAAGGACACTGACAGGGTATTTATGCTCGCCGAGGTTTTTAGTTGTGCGTGACATATGACAGCCCAACTACCCGGAACAGAATTTGCGGCTCGAAATTCGGTTTCTTTCCGCCCGAAAACCGCCGATCGAGAGCTGGCCGGTTTCAATCGCCCTCACTATTTTTTTCGTGGTCACGGGCCGTTTTCTAAGGTTTAGACACAACCACCAAATTTAATCAAAGTCGTTAGTCATTGAAAGCACACACTCGATATTAAAAATATTAAAAAATATGAAACCCATTTTCGTGGCTTCAAAAAGCTGCAAAGACGTTGAGTGAAAAAACAAAAAGTTGATCAGAGAACCGGAAGCATTCTGTGCGTGCGTCGTTTCGCGTATCGTGGGACTCGCAGGGACGGCGATGGCAGCGGACGACGGGCGTGGGACCTCTACTTCAGAACTGTCGTTCGCGGTACCGGCGAATTCTGTGTTCCTTTAAAAGAGAAATTTGGGACCGATCAAAAGAATTGGTATTCATCCCGTACGACACGCCCGACCACCAAACCGATTTACACGTAGACGTCGCCGAGACGTCGCCTCCTTCTCGTGGCTGAAGACATCGCTCACGCAAACGTCAAGCACGAAGTGCGTACTTCGAGTTGAATATGCACGCGTACGGTTTCTTTACTAGGTGCGAATGTGGCCAGTGCGTGGTGCTGCCAAACTTTGACCCGGGAGTGCTTTTGCTGGAGGAAAATCAGCAGCAAACTTTCCAACCTACAGTTGACCGGCTGCATTATTATTGAGGAAAGAGTTCCCCCAGTAGCTCAGTGCAAAGACGTCTGGTTTACACGCAACGGAACCGCGTTTATCCCCTGTGAGCGCTTTTCTTTTTTTTTTTTTTTTTGTCAAACATTTTGCGATATTTACATTCGATTTTTTTTACAATTATCACTGAAAAAAACATCTTGTGGACGAAACGTCGCTGAACTACATGGTATGAGATTTCCTTTTTGACACCTGCGAACTCAATGTAATCACTTTCCACAAAATGCAAAGGAGCATATACATCGGGTAGCGTCCGCGTTCTGAGGTGCCCGGAAATAGGCAGTTTTCGTAGATCGTTTCCGCTGTCCCGCAACGCTCTCCGCGACCAGCTACGCTAGCCGGAACTCTACAGTCAAGGCCATCGGCGCGCCGGCGCAGTAGCGGCTGCTTCGTTGCGGAGGGCTTAGCGGAAGGGGAAGCGCGGTCTACAAAAACTCCCTAATGGTCTACAGGAATTGCAGCCAGCCATTGGACCCGATCCCGTTGACCTTTCGAAAACGTGTGAAAACTCTGCCGCAGAATGCCACTTTTTTCGGACGCAGGACATGGGAGGCAGCTTTTCACGCAACATCTTGGGAGTATTCTTTTCGGAGCCGATCACGGAAATTCAGCACGGGCACTCACTACTCATCTCCAACTCTTGAATGTACGAAACAACGCATCTTGATACGGAGAACAGCTAGCGGAACAAACAAAACTGCAAAGAGATTGCTCGGCAGACGGTTCCCCACCAAACATGTCTGCTAAGCGCAAAAAAAAAAAAAATATTTTACCACTTTTTCTTTTTTCTTTACTTCGTCAACCTTCGTGCGCCGGTTTTGGTTTCGGTCTCGAGCAGTTGTGTTTTTTGGCTTTATTAAAAATATACGTGACTCTGTTGCAAAATATTAATTGGGCAGCCCTCCGACAACCATAATATATCGCCTGACCAAAAAAGAAAAAAAAAATTGGGGAAAGGTGTCAGACTCCTTTGAACTAAGAGTATCACCCGACCGCCGCAGTGGCGTAATTGTTTTAAAATTCAGAAGTGGCACAGATGTTTTTGATAAACTTTTTTTTACTTCGCGGTTATTTGCGTTTTGAATATTTTAAGCCTATCGTAATATCCTACAGATGCCCCACCCCTGAAAGATGGCTCACCCGTATTTTTGGCACGATTTGCTATTTGTTTCAAAAACACCGAAAGATGGCCCACTTCTAGTAATTGCAGGGTTTTGGCCAATGGTGACCTCGGCAGAAATGGCGCTGCTTAGCCACGGCGGCAGATAAGCGAGCATTGTTGACTGGGAAGTACAGTCGTCTTCAGTTCAATCACCCCCCCCCCCTCCCATTTTACGGTCACAAAGCTTTGTCAATCACAAATACAAAAAAAAAAATATTTTTACTTTTTTCATTGCACACCGAAAGTTAGGCTACTCCTAATTTTCACCCGATTTGCCTTTGATTTTAGGTGGGCCATCTCTCGGGCTATTACGTTATGCCATTATAGACCAACACGTCGTTTACAAACAAAACCAAATTCTGCGCATGCGCCGACAGCAGCGCCATCACAGCGACGTGACATCAGAGCCGCTCGTCGGTGTATATAAATCGTTGCTGTACGTCGTAGTCTCTCACTATGCGTATAATTATACAGCAATTCAACATTACATTTTTCCAGGAAGTCTAGCGGGTCTAAATATAGGGTGGTCCAAGTTACCAGGCTCGATCTAAAATGGACCGTAAAAATTGACGCCAGCACGCAGGAATCTAAACTTTTCGTCAAAGGTGTAATTCACAGGTCGGTTTTTTCTTGTAAAATTACAAAGCGTATCTCTCTTTCTGTAACAAATAAGGCCAAGAAACTTGTCAGGGTCTACGGCGGGCAGCAACGCAGACGACAGGGGTCCAGTAGCGGGGTGTGTTTGACGGTCGTATTGATAGATGGCGCTACCTCCTTGTCGCGACAGCTCGCGACCACCGTGGTGTATTAAAATGAATATAATCTTTTTGAAATGTACCTTCGGTTAAAAAAAAATGCGGACAATAAAAGCAAAACTTAAAGTAAAAAAACGCGTCTGCTTAAAGGAGGCGCTTTTGCTGCCAACGGATTTCGTCTGCGTGTCGTCTGCTATCTTTCGCAGGTCGGCTGCACCTTTAGACGCTGCTCTCGGCGCCATCTATCAATACGAACGCCAGACACACACCGCTACTCGAGTTGGTCGTCTGGGTTGCCGCCCGCCGTAGACCCTGGCAAGTTTAAAAAGAACTACGCTTTGTAATTTTACAAGAAAAAACCGACATGAGAAATACACCTTTGACGAAAAGTTTAGATGGCTACGTGCAGGCGTCGATTATTACGGTCCATTTTAGATCAAGCCTAGTGACTTGAACCACCCTATATAACGGAGAAATGGAGTTGATGCATTGATTTTTTTCTTTTCTTTTTCTGCTAAACTTGGTGCGAAATATGGCATGTCAAATTTAGCTGGGAAATGAAATGGGTGTATAATTACGCACCCATTAAATCCTTCCCATTATTTCATCATGTCACACTTTTGCGTTAGACGTTCTTAAGGATTTTTTTTAATTTAAAACTAGTACTATACATATTCCCACTTAAAAAGACGTAAGCATGTCTTCATGTTTGACTCGGCACATGCTGCGCTTGTGTGTGACGTCACGTCATACAGTTAAGTTACGTGATTGTTTGACGTCACGGGACACCACGATGTCACGGGACGATATGAGGTTACGTGACCTGCTTGTCGGTTTATTTTTTACCACAGATTCGGTGTATTTTTGTGTAAATTGGTTAAGTTGTACCCAATTTACACAAAAAAAAACAGAATTTTTTGGGAAAAATAATTCCGAAAAAAAGCAAAAACAGCTGAATTCCAAAATAAAAGGAACATCGAAAGGACGGAAGTGGCGAGTTTTAACACCTTTTCGTTACACACAAACAAAACAAAAAATGGTTCTGCTCACTTGAACCCTGGCTTCACTCAGGTCCAACCGGAGTGCCAGCTCCTCCCTGGTGAACACATCCGGGTACTGGGTCTTCTCAAAGGCCCGCTCCAGTTGGTGCAGCTGGAACGTGGTGAAGGTGGTGCGACTCCGGCGGACCTTACGAGGCTTGGCACCACCGGACCCGTCTTCGGTACCCCGGCCGTTGGACGACGTCGACGGCCCCGGAGGCCCGAAGTCGTCCGGGCTTCCGGGGGACGCGGACAGGGTCGTCGACGCCATCGACGACGGCTCGGCGTCGGACGCTTCGACGCGATGACCCCGGGACCTCGCCGAAACGTCTACGTAAACGGCGGGTGCGTTGTCAGGCTTGGAAACTGTACGGAGTGCAAGTTCGTCTGCTTCTTGCGCAGGTGTTGCAGTGACGTCAAACCGATGCTGAGCTCTGATTGGCTTCGACTGAAAGGCTAGTGGGTAGGCCTCGAGGCAGCTATAGCGTTGAGGTCTGCCCACTATCTTCCCAATCGGAGCCAATTGGAGCTCGGCGTTCTCTGACGTCACTGCAACACCTGCGCGAGAGGCGTGACGAACTTACCCTCCGCATAATCGGCGACAGGCTAAGAACCTAAAGTCGGAGTCTGACTGCTAATATGGCGTGCAAAAAGACGTTCGTTGCAGACATGATGACAGGGTTATCTGCGTACAGACCTCAAGCATTTTCGAAACATGTTTGCTACATGCATATGCGTGCCTCGAACATGTCTAAAGGCAGTTTTTAATGCGAAAGCATTAATTGTCCCATGGAGCGAAGCCCGGCGTTGTCTGTAGCAGCAAAACGGCACCTAAATTCCTATTGGCTGCGACGCGTCATGTGGCTCCATAGGAACGGCGTCATCGTTGCTAAGGGGTCAGCCGAACTGGTGGTGTCGCAGGGGGAAGGGAGTTGGAGGGGGGGGGGGGGGGGGCAGGGAGGGTATGCGCTGGTTGGACGTTAGGCCTAACGTTAGGCCTATCGTTACGCTTTGAGGTCTAATGTCATCAACCGGTACACGCAGCTGTTTCACATGAGGGGGGGGGGGGGGGGGTGGAGAGACGCGGGTTTGCGCTGGTCTGACGTTAGGCCTAACGTCTTCAATCGGCACCCGCGGCGTTGTTGATGATGAGAGGACACATGATTTCAGCACGCGCCGCACCGAGCTTCGCACTCTCGCCGCTGCCTGACCCAGCGACGCAGCAGTCCCCAGCGAGCCAGGGCGGTCTGCGCGGCGCACCGCCGCACTCTCTGCCGGCGCTGCGGCCACTTCTGCTCCTCTTGGCGCCGATAATGTTTTCGCATTCACAACTCATAAGATCTTAGGTGTCCTCGGAATTTTTTTAATGACTAATTTGACAGAACCACGATACAAGGAATTAAGAAACACGGCTCAGAAAGTGTCGGCAGACTGCCTTTTTGCGGGATGTGTTAACCGCGAGTTTATGCTCATATAAAAAAAAAAAAACATCTGTTAAAAAAAAAAAAAAAAGGATCTTTAATACATTTCGATTTTCACAAGATAAGTTTGACAAATAATATTGGCAATATTACGAGAGTGTTTCAACTTTGCTTCGCTGTATCGGGATATTCGGCATATCAGTATTCGCTATGATACGGTTCTACTGGAGAAAAAGTTTTATCAGGTGAAATCCGTCTGCGTTTTTTTTTTTTTTCAGGAAAACAATAAAGTTCAAAATCCTTTCTTTATTAACAGTATGCATTTCATTAATTTGAAAACATCACAAATTCGATAAACAGTCAAATTAAAAATGACGAAAGAACTCGCCGGAATGATAAGGAATATATATATATAAAAAAAAGACGACCATTTTTTTGTTCGCAGACATAGCATTTGTATTAGCAGAAATACCAGAACATTTTTGTATTAGCCCACTGTACAGAAATATGGCACAGATGTTGCGAGTACCAGGTAAAAAAATATCCCCCGTGAGTTTGTCTTATTCTGTCTGTTTATCTTACTTAAAAACATTGGCATGTAAATACAATATTTCTTTTTATTCACGCAATTTTTTTTTAAATATTTTTGTTTGTCTAGATCTTAAAGTCGCTTATGTCTGTATCTGTTTCATATTCCGGCAACGACCCACAAATATTTTTTTTAATTGCTGGTGGGAAGAAAAGCATATGGTCAAAAACATGCAAGTCTTTTCTTTCTTATTTTTCAATAATCTTTTTTTTAAATATTTGTCAAAGTTTTACACTTTGACTGATCTTGCTTGGTAAACTTGTGTGCGCAAACACACACGACAAACACGAAGGGGTGGACAAGGACAAGGGCCATGCGCCTGTCGTGGTCCACTCCGTCGTGTTCGCCCTCCGTGTTTGCGCGGACAAGTTCCCTCAATACCGTGAACCAACTCGCCCAATAACCAAAAGTCTTGCTGACCTTACTTCGCTGGCCACTTTTAAACGTAGGACCGTTTTAAGAAATATATGTTGAAATAATTATTTTAATTATGCTTAGTGTCGGGCACTGCGGACGCTTGAGGTAAATGCTTAATCGTATAAAGACCAGTTGGGGAGCGGGGGAAGCAGGGGGTTTAAAAAATATATTTTAGGGTCGTTTTTATTTCAAGTGGCAAAACAAAAATAGTGTGTTTCACAGTTGTGTGCTGCGTCTGAATTGCCTGAGTTGTCCTGTCGAAGGAAGTTAAAGCGCTCGAAACTTTTACATAGCATAATACGTAACAAAACTTGTTTCAAGTTTGATGTCTATCTTCAGTGTAGCGCCAACTGCGACACAAGACAGAAGCGTCAGAAACTGATTCGTGAGCCACGTTGCAGAAAAGACGTTTTACTTCTCTCTTTTTTTTCTTTTTTTTCTATACCGTTTGCGAGTAAAACGAGTGGCCCCGCAGCGTGACGGGTATTGACTCTTTTGCTAAATTTTCTAGTGCAATAGTTGAACTTTTCTCTGTTAGACTGGACTCCAAGGACTAAACTGCTTTTTCGTTTTACGCAATGTTAATGCGTAAAACGCATTAACATTGCGTTTTACGCATTAACCATTAACCATAATGCAACGCGCTGACCTTTTATATTGTTTTGCCTGCACCGGGCCTTGGCCTTCAAAGTGGCCTGGCAGGTACCTTCAAAATTTATGAATAAATAATTGTGTCAATGGCAATATCTCGGAGCATTACTCGTTTAGACTACGTTCCTCGATAGGGTACACGTTTTATGAAACTAGTTAACCAACAGACAATTTCATAAGGTGATCATCTGGTGAAACGTTGGCGAGCGTTCTAATTTGTTGATTCCCTCCACGTATTGCAACTTGTTTTTCTTTTACTGGTTATTTTATAATTATTAATTGGAAAAAGAACAAATTGAAGACGTTTACAATTTTCTGTAATCCCGAATCAGGGCGCAACTCTTGAGGAGGAGGAGTAGAAGTTGCGGAGGGGAGGGTATGCTCCCCCTCCCTTCCTCCTCTCATGCTCTCCTCCCATTTAGCGGAAAATATTTCCTCTAAATTTAGCGGGAAATTATTTATCAATATATGGGAGTTTTCGTAGACCGCGTTTCCGCCTTCGCCAAGTCCTCCGCAACGAGGAAGCCGCTACTGCGCCTGCGCGCCCGTGGCCTGGACTGTAGAGTTCCGGCTATCGTAGCGGGTTGCGGAGGGCTTTGCGGAGGGGGAAACGCGGTCTACGAAAACTCCTTATTTACTCGCTAAATATAGCGGCAAATTTATCGAAAATTTCCCCGCTAAAAAACTATGTGTTGTGCTCCCGTGACGTCAATTTCTCCGCTAAATTTAGCGGGCAATTTTTTCCATTGCATTTAGCGGAAACTTTTTTCCGCTAAATTTCAAGTGGCGTCACATTCATTCACGTGACGTCACACGTGACGTCACGAGGGTAAAATTTCGCCGCTAAATTTGGCGGGCAATTTTTCCGCAAGAATTAGCGGGAAATTTTTCAGGGTTGACTGGCGTCACGTGTGAAGTCACAAGGGTAAATTTTTCCCACTAAATTTGGCGAAAAGTTTTTTTTCGCTTGGGGGAAATTTTACTCTCGTTACGTCACACGTAACGTCACGTGCGACGTCATTATAGGAAACATCCCATAATGCAACACGCAGTTACGCCGCCGGCGACGGCGACGCCGCTCAACTCGGCACCGGGCGCCTAAGAGCTGCGCTCTAAAAAAAAACGACTCGAAACATCCGAGACTTAAAGGGGCCCTGCAAGGACTTTTTTACTGGTTTTTAAATTGCACCCAACCTGAGCGCACTGAACGTAGTAACTTAATAAAACTTTTTTTTTTCTCAAATTTAGCTTTCTTTGAAAATTATAGGCAATTTAATATTACAAAAACAAGCAAAAAATGACCTCCTTCATGACGTCCTTGGTTGCTTGAGAGGCCGTGAACTAGAGGAGGAGTAGTGAGCTCAGCGAGCGCTCACGGCTGCCGCACTCCGTGTCGACGGCTCGAGAGGGCGCCACTAAAGCATGTTCCGAGTGGGCTGCATGAAGCGGGTAGCCACGGCGGCTCGCATTGCATTTGCTGCGCGATTAAGCACTAATTCGGCATGACACTTCATTGGCCACAAGCGACAGCAAACGCGGGGTAAAGATCAGTTAAGAACGGGAGCCACTTCGCGCTGCCATACCGCCAAAAGGCCAAACCGCAAGAGAAAGCTACTCGCCGCCGAAGGCCTTGGGAACGCTCGGAACCGCAGTCCCTACAACCGCAGCGCCGCCGCGTACATCTGGGACCTCTCTACGATCGCCGCTCGTTGGCGCCTGATCCCACTACACCTTTCTAGTATTCGCCGCCTTTTCCGCCGCTTGGTGGCGGGTATGTCGGCGGGTCATTTCCTGTTTCCGTACTTTCTAAACTGCATTTGTTTCTTTTCTGATCTAAAACAGTGAACAAAAACTACTTTTATAAATAATTGAAACGGTTCGCGCCACTTTTATTTTGTATTTCGACAAAAAAGAAAGTTTTAGCGGCTTTGACCAGTAGTAAGCCCAGAACCAAAGACGTCACATTTCGCGCGCTTTCGGCACCGCGGGTCGCCCCTGTAGGAGGAGGTTTCCGCGGCGTCGTCTGGTTAAAATATGACGCATTTATATTTAGTAGGGAGTTTTCATAGATCGTGTTTGCCGTACCGCAAAGCTCTCCACAACACGCTACGCTACCCGGGGCTCTACAGTCAAGGCCATCGGCGCGCAGGCGCATTAGCGGCTTCTTCGTTGCGGAGGGTTTAGCGGAGTGGG